GGGTCTTGCTAGTCACACTCGATATCCCCATGGGCTGTGAGGCCCATTCCTCCTCCTAGCGCAATATAACACTATCGTCTGAAAATGACGGAAAGGTGCCAGTCTCTCTTCAATTCCTTAAAAGTTCTGTACTTCTCTTAAGTTTAGCGATTCTCCCATACCACAGTATCCATTCTTATTCTACACAGGCAGTAGTTTGTAGCTAGTTCAGTAAGTTGTAGTCACTGCCCATGTGTACACATCATCATCAAGTGCCATGCTGTCTGATGTGGGCAATCCCTATCTTGTGATCTCCTAAGGCATATATATATATATATCTGTGTGTGTGTGCGTGTGCTGACACCATTCTATGCCACTACACAACACTGTCAATGATCTTCTCTAATTACTCACCGCATCTCCATTATTATTTCCTGCTGTCACAATATATTGCAGTTTTTTTATCTTCTGCCTCATTACACTCAACGTTATTAAAAAGATTTTCAGAAGCTAAGCACAAACATATTCATGGCATTGTAGTGCTGGGGTGTCTGTGGATTACCTACCTCCCCGGGCAGCAGCTAGAAATGCCCTGTACCAGTTCTAAAGGAAATATGGGTTGTGTTTCTGCCTTTCCCTTTAACACGTAGCTAAGGTGGGGCTCACAGTGTGCTCATTCCCCGCCACCAGATTGCCTGCAGGTTTCGCTGAGCTCTTCATGTCTCTAAGCATGGCCTAAGCATGAGTAGTTGGGGCAACTGGATCGTCACGTCCTGAGTCCCTGTGCCTTCACGATAGTTTCCAGTATTCAGGGGGGTTAGCATACTTGTTTCCATTCCTAAGACTGTTCAGCACACCTCTGGCTCCTTCCCTCCCACAGGGGGCAGTACGGTGTGGTGCACCGGGTTTATTATCGAGGTTTGCTCCTCTAGATCCATTGTGTTTTGCCTGGGGATTCGCACCCCCAGTTACCGGGACTACCTCGGGGAGGCTGTGACTCTTCGCCACGCACAATGGTCTTGAGGTAAGAGAGGTTTTGCTAGGTCAAGAGGCTGACACCACAATGGACGCTCCTTTCGTGAACAGATATTCACTAGACCTAGGGTGAAGTAAGGGGAGGAACCCACTACCCACAACACCAACACTTCTTACCCCCTGCCTCTCGAGGCTCAGTCCCCTAAGCACAAACAGGCGGAAAGCAAAACTGTTGTCTCCCATCAACAAAAAACATACTCAAGATTTCATTACAAAAAAAGATGCTACAGGCAACAGCAACTACAGCATGTTACAGAAGTTTATTATTTCAAACAACAAAAAACATCAATAGCCACCCAAATCACAACCATGTCTGGGAAAATAATCACTGACAATAAAAAGGTGAGCATTTATAACTATAATAAGAATAAAATTAGTTTTATTAAATAATCTGGTATCATTGCGATGTCTGCTGACAAGTAATTTTGTTTGGTCTCATTGTAAAGGCCACCTATCATGGTGCTGCTATGCCGTGATGCAGATTGTTTTTAAAACTGTACTTCTGCATAATTAAAAAATGTATCTACCTTACCGATGATTGAATCTGACTCCAAATGTGAGACCAGGTGTGTGCTGATGAAAACCAAAGTCCCCAAATGTAATTCTGGTTTCGTTACCTTGCTGATGAAAACTGATGTCTCCAAGTATGAGAAATATGTGAAACTTTTAATTTTACCCTGGAGATTAGGCCTTTGTCCAGACATAAAACTGGTAACATTACCCTGGTGATTTCACCTCTTAACAGATTTGAAACCTGTAACTTTCTTTTTATTTTCGTCCATGCCGTATGGCGTTATTAGTTATTTTAAATAATGCAGACACAAGCAATACATTGCACAATTTATTGCCAGATATATTTCATTATATCCCGTCAGGAGCGATACTACAGTTACATCAACATAAAATGAAGCACAAAAAATCTGAATAAATCCAATTAAAGAAAAAAGAATGGTTTCTTTCAATGCATCGTGTTCGTCTAGTCACTGGAAGTTCACTGTAGTACGTGACTTACCAGGGTAAATTCAAATCACTATAAATTATGTCTGCTTAAAAACAAGGAGGTTGTTGATTTTAATTGTTAAAGCTTCAGCCATTCGTAGCAGTCTCCTGTTGGGTGTGTAGTAAACCACAAAGTAAGTTAACCACAAAGTACTGTCCTTGTCAATCACATGTCCAGAAGTAAACAAATGACATCCTATAGAAGAAGTGGGTTCTTTTCTCTTGATTGGTTTTGACACCCTTGAAGATCACTGAACTGTGCATGTAGCTATTTGGGTATATTACTCTTTTATCCGTTTAGTGTTCACCTTTCATCTATAACACCACATCTCCACCGCCACTGCACAATTTATCATCAATTAGCCAACTCCCCAAGACTTTTTCTCACTGAAACTAGTTTACAACAAACTGATTTAAAAAAAAAAAAAATCTAACCCAGTTTACCATTCAATAATACTAGATCAATGACCTACCTGGGCTGGGGTTAACCTGCACACATCTACCAGCAAAACCACAAGGACCAGATAGCAGCTGTGATCGTGCTCTATATAAAGGACTAAGTTAAATATTCCAGTGGTCTGTACAGTTCACAAACATTTGACACATATGATGTAGACTTCATAAAACTGATGCATGCATTTTATAAATATATCCTTTATGAAGACATTTTTACAATATATTATATATAACAATTTTCTCACTCCATGCCATCAATCATTTCTACAATGATTAATGTTCTCATTAATGTCCAGTTATTCACTTCTGCAGTTCTCATTCATACACCTGAAATCATTATTTTGTGTTGTAATTATTCAATGCAGCAACTACTCTTGCAAAAAGGATCTTTTTCCACACCTTCTGGCGTAGTGGGCATATAGGGCTAGACCTCTATTTGAAAGACCAATCGGCACTTGGTGGGTGAAGTGGTTACCATCATGCCGGCCAGCTTCACTTCCCAGAGCCGCATCTGAGACCCATTTAAGGCTGGGTCACCCTGGGAGCCAAGTCATTTCCTTTGAAAGGTCTGGCTCTGTCAGCACCCGAACCCGTTACCTTCTGATCTGCAAGTGAGCTTTTAGCTGCTACATCACACATGCCCCTACCCATACTTGTAAATACATATTGTGTACACTGTTGTGTTTATAAGTGTCATCTTAATTTTAAAACAAAATGAACACTCGAACACTACCGCTCATCTTCGTAAGAACTATCCAGGTCAGAGTCAAAACCAGAATTAAGAAAATCTTTCATGTCATCAGCGTTGTCTATGCCTTCTCTAGAACTACTTCTCCTGTTGACCTTGAGAGGGACAAATGGATCTGCATAAGCAAAGGTAAATTCCGGCGATGCATTTCTATAAATACGTGAGGTTGGGATGGCAACTGGAGATGATCTGAACGGATCTGGGAATAATGACTGTGGTGGTGATGCTGGGGATTCTGAGTCTATCCTTGGTGGTGAAGATGGCGGAGACGCTGGAGAATCTGTGGGTGGAGATGCCGGAGAATACGTCGGGGAAGGCGGTGATTCTGTCGGCGGTGATGGAGGTGAAGGTGGTGTTGATGGTAGCTTAAAAGATGGAGGTTGCTGTACTGGCTGCAGAGTCTGTTGGATATCGCTCGGAGCCAGCCACGAACCAAAAGATAAATTTGGCGACAAAGGGTGCTGAGATTGCTGTTGGTCTGAAGGCATTTTGAGAGGACTTAGAAATGATGGGTCTGTTGCTGCTAAAAACACTGGATGCAAGCTTGTGGAATGTTGGTGTGGCACACGCATATCTACATCCCCAAAGTCATTTTCTTCATGGATAACTGGTGTCACTGAGGGAGCTTCATGGATAACAACAGGTGTCGCTGAGGGAGTCAGTGAGACAGAAAGAGTATGCTGCTGAATATCTGAAGGAACTGATTCCGCTGGGGTTGTACGGGTTTTAAGAATAGATTTAGGCACCTTTGGTGCAGAATTTATTGGTGCCACATCAGATTTTGCTACAGAATTTACTGGATCTACATTAGTGTTTGGTCCAGAATTGGCTAATTTTACATCAGATTTCATTGCAGAATTTACTGGATTCATATCAGATGTCAGTGCAGAATTTACTGAATTCACATCAGATTTTGGTGCAGTATTTACTGGATTCATATCAGATTTTGATGCAGAATTTACTGGATTCACATCAGATTTTGGTGCAGAATTTACCGGATTCACATCAGATTCTGATGCAGAATTTACTGGTTTCACATCAGATTTTGGTGCAGAATTTACTGGATTGACATCAGATTTTGATGCAGAAAGTACTGGTTTCAAATCAGACTTTGGTGCAGAATTTACTTGTATTGCATCAGATTTTACTAACACAGGATGAAGTGCCGCAGAATTGTAGGGAGAACTGCCCCTGTTCCTGTTGTCTTTAATTTCTGATACAGGATGCACAGGCTCAGAAGGTATTAGTTTTGGTTCCGTCGGAATAACTTTTGGTTTGGGAATGGGCTTTTCTATAGGGTTCAATGGTTCTGTCGGAATAATTATCGGTTTTGAACTTAAAGGTGGTTTACTGTATTTTTTCAGATCATTCACAGAAGCAGAAGGTTTTAAACTCGGTGCTGCAGCAGGAGCTAAAGAAGACTGTTTTGAAGATTTCTTTATGTGTGATGTGCTCGCAGAATGGGGGAGCGGCTTGGACAAAACTGAAGAAGATACAGGCTTCCTCAGAAATATAATGTCTTCCATTTGCTCATTAGTCAGCTCTTCCTCACTCAACTCCTCCTCTACAGTTTTGGTGCTGTTCAGTAAAGAACTGCCACGGGAAAAGGCCTTGGCATCAACGTCCATTTCATTATCAGACCCATGTGGGCTGAAAGATGGCATAGCTTTGACCCGTGACGACAATTTTTGTTTCGGCTTTTGTCGAGAGCCTGAGGGAAAACACGATGAACTGCGGCTGTGACTAGAAAGATTTGCAGACTGCACAGCGTTGTACACCCTGGCTACATCAGTGTCCCGACAGCGCTGTTGTTCAGCTTTTGTTGCCGACAGTTTCTTACATGCACAAGAAGCAAAGTTTACTTCAGCGTCGGCCAGTGACATGGCAGCAAACTTATTATGAATATGTCTCTGGTCATGAAATAATCTGGGAACTGATCTCCTGAGATGTCTCCTGTTTTTCTCCATATCTGCGTAATCCTCATTGTCTGATGAATCTGAATCATCGAATAGGTTTTCCCAGTTAGTTGCACTTCCGTAGTTGTTGAGTGGAAGTTGCTTTTCCATGAGATTTTCTTAAAAATAAAATTGTGACACTCAAAAACTGGAAGAATAACAACTGAATGAATATAATCTTTAAATCATTAAGTCAATACAAAAATTATGGAAAGATCTTATTTTTCCATGAATGTTCTAGACATGGTGCTAGCTCTATATTTTTAGACCAATCAGCAGAAAGGTTTCATTTCACCACAGATGTACTGGAAACAAGGAGCTCGTCCTATATTTTTAGAACAATCAACAGAAAGGTTTCATTTCACCATGGACGTACTGAACATATGACACTAGTCCTATATTCTTTAGACTAAACACTGGAAAGGTTTCATTTATCCATGGATGTCTCAAACATATGATGGTAGTCGTATATTCTTTAGACCAATCAGTGGAAAGGTTTTATTTATCCATGGATGTCCCTAACTAACATATGACGCTAGTCCTTTATTCTTTAGACCAGTCAGTGGAAATGTTTAATTTATCCATGGATGTCCCTAACTAACATATGACGCTAGTCCTATATTCTTTAGATCAATCAGTGGAAAGGTGTCATTTCACAATGGATGTCCCGGACATGTGACGCTATTCCTATATTCTTTAAATCAATTAGTGGAAAGGTGTCATTTCACAATGGATGTTCCGGACATATAACGCTAGTCCTATATTCTTTAAATCAATCAGTGGAAAGGTGTCATTTCACCACGGATGTGCAGGACACATGGCACTAGTCCGATATTGTTTAGACCAATCAGCATTCAGTGAGAGAAAAGTTTAAAATGTAAACACAGAATTGAGACTGGAGGTTCTGTTGCTTATTTCCTTCTCATCTTCTGCCCTTTGAGCCCTTGAAGTTCACTGCTGAAGATATCATTTGCTTACACTGATCTCTATCTGGCTGATCTTTTTCTCAGATGGTGACGCCAAGTGTTTGAAGATCTGCCTGGTCTTTCAGGTCTGCCTCATGGTCCGCTCCCATGGAACTGTTGTGAAGGCAGTTTGTGTCTCTCTGTTATCTGCCATTCTCTTTGTAATCCTCAACCATTGCAATCTACTGGCCCCTAATGAATGCCAGTAATCAGTGCTGACTAAATTATTCATTTTTCTTCTTAGCGTTCACAGGCTGTAAATGCCAGTGAGAAACTTTAGTTATTTGACCATTTTTAGATTTCGGTCCTGTTCCAGACTTAAATTTTTAGTGTATATCCCTTTTACACCACTCTAAGGAAGTAGACAATAGACAGACTTATTTCCGTTAAATTTGTTTGTTTCTGTTTAATTAGACCTATGGTAAATAGCACGACATTCATCGAGTGTCGACTGTTCTATATTTCTTCTTCGTGTTTATCGGCTGTAAACTCTGGCGGAAGGTTCCGGTTCTTCGTGCACCTTTGGACTTTAGTCTCGTTCTAAAGCCTGAGTGTAAAAAATCTGGCTTATCTGTACACATTTTTTTTTCTTGCCTCTTAGGCAGATGCACTCTGACTTCGAAGGAAAAATCTCTAACTGTTGTTAGTTAACTAGTGGATCTATTTAATTTTCCCCCTCCTTATTGTTTTCACACCGGGAGACTACATTTGAAACTTAGAAACCCCACCAACAACTAAATAGCATGTGTAACTCTCGTACACACAATGAAGTCCTTAAAATGTTACAGAGTTTGTGCACAGTGCTGAGGTTCTCATGTCTCCCACAGACAGAGATGGGAGGATAAACGGCTAACACTTGCAAAGCAACATCAGATTTTAAGAACAAAAATATTCATCTCTACAGTTTTAAAACCAAGTTATGTAATATATTTTTTACTGTTATGTTATTTCAATATGCCAGTGACAGCTCAGACACTAAATATATGGAACGAAAGTTAAGTGACTTCAAAAACACATGGCTAAGAAAAAGGGAACATTAAATGGGATGAAAGTCAGGGAAGGTGACAAAACAAGTGAAACAACTGGGCAACCATTAGTATCACCAGTTATAACACAAAGAAGATGGCAAAATATTAGGCACATAATGAGGAAAAACAGACAAATATTTACAAAACAGGCAGTGGAATGGGAAACAAATAGATTAAGGAAACAAGGACATCTGACAGAAACTGCTGAGAGAGGCCAAAGGTCAGGACCAGATTCCATCCTTGATACTGAACAGATTGAAAAGGAAAGAATGGCATGAAATACTAGACTGTGAGCCCTGTGTGATGAATAAAGCCACAAAAAGATGATGATGATGAAATCTATTCTTGAATCCATGCAGTGCCTCTACCTAGAGAAACTAATGTCACTGTTTTATTTGTTTTCATGTTAACAAAAGAAAATTCTACACAAAAATGCTGAAAATTCATTTGACAGTCAATATGAGTAATTAAAATGTTGAAAACGAGTTATGGCATCAATAACAAATATCAGAGAGTAGTTCTCAGATGTCGTACCAAATTATTTTTAAAAAAAAAAAAGGGGGGGGGGGGTGGCAAGAGAAGATTCTTAAAAGGCTTTTGTCATTCCATAGAAAAATGAGAGCTCATGAACTGAAACATGCTGTTGCAGTTCATGGAGGAGTTGGAGACATAGGATCACCCATGTCAGTCAGCAAAGCATATGATGATGAAAATTGTGCTGAACCTAATGAAAATCTTATCAGAATTGAACTGTTCCAGTCAAAACTATTTAAAATATTAACAGTTTGTTTCAGATCTTAACAGCTCTTCTTTAGTTAATGCTACAATGAATTGTTCTAGTCAAAACCATACAACATATTAACAGTTTGTTTCAGATCTTAACAGCTCTTCTTTAGTTAATGCTACAATGAATTGTTCTAGTCAAAACCATACAACATATTAACAGTTTGTTTCCGATCTTAAAAGCTCTTCTTCAGTTAACACAATGAATTGTTATAGTCAAAACTATATAAAATCTTAACAGTTTGTCTGCAGATCTTGACAGCTCTTTTTTTAAGTTAATGCTAAAATAAATTGTTCTATATATACAATCTTAACAGTATGTCTTCAGATCTTAACAGCTCTTTTTCAGTTAATGCTAAAATGAACTGTTCTATTCTGATTTGCTACTTTGATTAAATTAACAAGGCAATGCATTCCCAAATGTCTGCTTGATGATAGAATCAAACACACGAACAAACTTACTTTCTTGAGCCTGACTCGTGGAAAACTTGGACATGATCACACAGTGAAGGACTGGGGCATCATCATCACGACGAACAAGACCTATGCGAGATGCACATAAATTTTACATATAAACAGAAACCTCATCTTTAAACAAATAAATTATATCCACATAGCATTTCCTACTTTCATGTCCCAACAGAGCATGGTCATATAATTTATCAATCAATCGTCTGTGCACATCCGTGCTCAGAAAGAGAGATGCTTGTCTGGAATATATGAAAACAAGTTTTTTTCTTTAAACTAATAGCTATATAGGTGACTTGCTGGTCTTTATGGTACAGTGGCTCTAATTCACAAGACACTTTAAAAGGCTAAACAATTAGTCTCACATAAGACTCGAAACACAAAGAGGGGGAGAAAGGGGCGGAGAGCAAAAGACTTACAGGCACAGTGTTTGATTTTGTTCAAAATGTCACGTATATTAATAATAAAGTAAACACAACGAAACATGATAACCTAACATATTTTTATTACTACACATATAGCTCGCTTACTGGCCTAAAGTTCTTAGGTTCAAACCCACACAAAGGCAGATCCCCCCCCCCCCCCCCCCCCCCCCCCCCCCCCCCACACCGCCCAAATTTTACCTTGGCCCCTCCGCTAATTCAGCCTCAAGTGGGTACTAATTAAATTAGGGAAGTAAAGGCGGTCTGTGGGACATTAGCCACTAAACAGTGATTTATCTATACATAATGTCTAAATATGAGTTTGGCATCGTTTGTCTGATGCACCATTGCAAAAAAAACAAGTTTGTTTTTTTATATACCGCAAATATAAGTAGAATTTTTGTCAGAAAACTGTAGAATTACCTAGTTGTGATGCGAGCAAGCAATTAGGCATCAAGAATAAGAAAACATCATTAGGAAGTCTCACTGTTGGCATCTGAAATATTCAAGCAACATAAATTATCAAGATTGCTTTAAAAGATAAAAAATATAAACACCTGTACCGGGTGGTCTGTATAACTCCGAACCTCCCTCTGTCTACATCCGAGATATCAGTCCTCAGTAAAGGCCTACAGTCTGTACCCTTATACCCTTCTAGAGACCCATATGCTCGTCTTCAGAACGCTCACAACGTTCTGCGTAGGCTACAGCAATATGATCACAGAACCCAACCTGAGAGAACTAATGCACCTGTGCCCACGGACTCTACCGTTTGGTTTCCGAAACCTAGGTTTTCCTGGATTCCCAATCCTGGGGCATCTAGAGCTTTGGATTTATATATTGAGAAAACTCTTTTTGAGATCAATAAATTGAAATTCCAACCCCTCGGGCACTCCAACCTCTCACTTTCAGAACTTCAGGCACTCACATGATTGAAACGTCGTGATGATATTGTTATTAAACCTGCGGGTAAGGGAGAGGCAGTAGTGGTGTGGGCAAAAGATTTTTATTTGCAGGATGAGGACAGTCAACTCAGCGACTTCTCGTTCTATGAACCCCAGTCACACGGCAGCAATGTTAAAAATAACAAAATAGTAAAAAGTACTATCACTACCTTGATCAAGGAGGATATTCTACCTGCTCGGGCCAGCTTTTTATTTGTAGATAGCTGTCTGGGAAAGCCCGGCTTCTCTTTGATTCCCAAGATTCATAAACCAGACAACCCAGGCAGACCGATCGTGTCCGCCTACGCTTGTCTCACAGAACTCAGATCCGGGTTTCTCGACCGTATCTTGCAGCCCCTGGTCGGTCTTCCGACTTACATCAAGGATACCAACCATGCTATCTGTCTTTCAATCCATCCGGTTCATCTCTTCTTCTAGGTACCACATCTTCACCTGAGATGTTACCTCCCTCTACACCTCTATTCCACACTCTGATGGGCTTAAGGCTTTGCAGTTCTTTCTTCGCTAAATTGTAGTCAGCCCTGCTAAAGCCACTGACCCCTTGATAAGTCTGGCTCTGGCTGAGTTAGTGCTCACTCTAAACTCTTTCAAGTTTAATGGCCACTGCTTCAACCAGATCAGCGGCGTCACTATGGGCACCAAGAAGAGGCCCAGTTTTGCCTGCCTCTTCATGTGCCACCTCAAGCATCAGATACGTCATGCTTATACCGGTAGACTACCTGAGCTCTACAAGAGGTATATCGATGATTGCATCGGTGCCACTGATATGACCCTACCGGAATTGCAAAACTACGTTCATTTTTTCTCAAACTTCCATCCCAGTAATTGTTGCACTTTTAGCATTTCACCTTCATCTGTGCATTTTCTGGATCTTATGTCACCATGGACTATAATGGCCTCAGCGCCTCGGTATTCTATAAGCCTACTGATTCCCATGCTTTTCTTCTTTACACATCCTCATCCTTCTTCCTGCAAAGACCCCATTCCTTTCTCCCAGCTTCTACGCCTCCGCAGACTATGCTAGGAGAACGATTACTTTCACAAGGCCCTACAAACGTTGGACTTCTTCTGGCTCCGAGGGTATCCGGAACATGTCTGCTGCCTTTCACCGAACACGGTTATCCATCGTGCTGAGGCTCCCGTTTCCAAGCCTAAACGTCACCACAACAGACCCATTTTTATACTTACCTACCACCATCACAACATACATACTAAAAATATTCTTCTCAAGCATCTCTCCATCCTTAGGGCTGAACCTTCAAAAAGCAAGATTTTCTCTGGACTTCCTTTAGTGGCCTACAGGCATGACCGTAACCTCAAGGACATTCTAGTTAATTGTCACTTAGGTCCTGCCTCCGGGTCCCACTTTAGGACAGTCTATTGCCACAGACCTGTATACAGGACCTGTCCTTATGTGGTTCAGGGTACCAGCCTGGAATTCCCGAATGCCACCTTTCACATACATAAAGCATTCCTTTGCACGAGCCATAATGTAATTTACACCATCAACTGCAAGAGATGTGGCATTAAATACATCGGTGAAACCGGTATACAATTGGCTGACAGGTTCAGACAACATCTTTTAGACCTGCAGAACGGTGCCCTGAAACCAGTACCGCTGCATTTCAATTCCCAGGACCACCAAGGTGTCCACAACATAAAGATGACAGCCATTAAAGCTAGCCACTCCAGCGACAGAGTCGCAAGTCTCTTGAAAATCGCTTTATATACACTTTGGGAACTCTGGCGCCCAGTGGACTAAACTGCCAATAGAGCTTCATCTAAATCCTAGGGAACTAAACTGACTATCTTATCCTCGCCAGACAATTGTCTTGACATCGACCTGGCTGCCACGATATACGAAGATGAGTGATATTGTGTTTTTTGTAGTATTGTCTAATCTATGTATGTGCTGAAGAAGGCTCCATAGCCGCAACGTTCACGTTTTGTTTGTGTTTGTTATATTGTGAAGCTCGCTGATATACTTTTCATTTGGTTTTAAATCTTTCCCTGTGGAGTGGATCTGCCTAAGTGGCAAGAAATCAACACTCTGCATACAAATGACTCAGATCTGTAAAATGGATGTGCATGCAACACTCAGGTTCTAGAACAGTAAGAGAGTCCAGAAGTGGACAAAATACCAGAACTTTCAGCCATAGTTGAATGCAAAGAAGAAAGTAGATTAACTAAATAAATAGTTCTGTTATATCTCCATGTTTATATGCTGTGGTGGTTATTATCCATATTTTTGACATAAGTCATGGTGTTCAACTCTCTGTTTATTAATTAGATGAATAAACTTTTGTGTCGATTTATTTGTACAAAAGTTGTGGTATGCAACTATCTAGTTCTTCCTCATTCAGTCATCAGCTTTAATGATCAACTGTCCATATATATATGCAACATGAATTGTCACATACTTAACTAATATATTCCCATACATGAGAACATTTGTATTGACTTTTTTTTTAACTGGTTACATTTTATCACATTTGTTTTCAAACAGATATTTAAACTTATGTTTCATTACTACAGGCGAATATGTGTAGTCAGTTGACAAAGAAGAGATCTACTTTCTTCTAGTATCAATGTCAAGAATATGCTGGTGTTCGCAGTCAGCAGCTCACAACTGCATTCACTTTAGCAATGGCATAAGCAGTGCACTGTTCAGAAAGCAATGTTAACCTCCTGAATGTAGTAAAACCAGAGAATAGCCAATATGTGTTATGTGAAGTCCTGTAAAGAATGTGTAACTAGCCAGCTGACACCTTCCCATCTTTCCAAGCTTCTTATGGTCCACGTCATGTGGTGTTGGTAGTGATGTCTATCCGTAAATTTCTGTCTGGTAATCTCTTTCCAGACAGTAGTGCTACAGAGGCCATGGCAAGTGTACTAACAAGACCCACCACCTGTACTCAGAAAAATCACAGCACAAAGCCTGGGCAGTACTGCAGATACCACATATGGCAGCTAGCTCCTACAGCGTAAACTTCTTTTACTTCTATCACTTGATTAGATTCAGATCAGGAGCTAATCATGGATTTTCTGTCCAGGACATTCAGGTGTATGAGGTAACTAGCAGGCTGTTAGATTATCTACTGCCCCTCCTCTGAGTGATGAGCTACTTTAGGATAAAGCAGATACGGTGAAGGCTCTTTGGGATCAAATAAACAGTGCAGTAGAACAGACAAAGAAGCAATACACTAAAAGACAATGTGAGCACAGGTTCTGGAAGATATTCAACACTGAGGGAAAACATAGGTGGACTTTTAATCAGGTTGTAGCTGGTACTATTAGCATGTTAACTGTCTGTTAGCTACTGAAGGAGACGGAGCATGTGTGGGAATGTCACAAGTGCCATGATGTCAATTCTTGATGCACTCATTCAAACTTCTGCTTGCTATCTCAGTTGGTTAAACATAACTGTGGGGCGACCGCGTGACGAACTCCTTGTGGTCCGGATTCCCGCCTGGGGGTAGGCATAAAAGCCACATTTTCCCCAGGTTTACAGTATCTATCATGGAATCAAGGCCGAAGGGTTGCGATATCCATAGTACCGAGCCAAAGGGTTAACATCGCATGGTTTTTGGGTATTTAAAAAATTAAAAATACAACTGCAGATTAAACAGTACCAACCTCTCTTTTTGTACTGATATGTTTAATGAGAGCCTTGAAATGCTCCTCATTGTTGGGCCTTGGCCGCATGATGCAGGATCGAAAGTAATGGGCCCTCCATTCAACCTCATCCTTGTGGGCGATGTTTGACAGACCACAGAAGAACGTGAACTGTGCATTGTGTTCTGGGAACAGGCTATGGACTTTTATTGGGGAAATCCTAAAATAAAATTACAAACAAGGATTCTGCTCAAATATCTTATATGGCAAAGTCAAAGCAGAGATATTACAAAACACATTTATAAAGGGCAAAGTATGTAGCAACTAATCAATGGCTGCTAGAAGTGGAAATCTTTATGTACAATGACAGAATAGACAATCTTGTGCTACCGCCAAATCAGAAGATCAACCAATGGTGAGGCAAGACTAAACATTATGGGATAAAATGAATCAACTAGACCAGCTAAATAATTTTAAAAAACTACCTTCTTACACAATGTAATTCTGGTAATTATGCCTGTACACAGCCTTCTATTTTGTTCAGTGTCAGTCATTTCTCACACAGACATTTCTTTTTGCCGGACTGTCCAGCAGCTTCTTTCTTAATCTTCATCGACATCACCTCCACCCTCTTTCTTTAAAGACAACTTTCTTCTTCTTCTTTTTAAAGTCCATGCCGTGTGGCGTTGGTAGTCATGTCTATCCACAACCTTCTGACTGGTGTGCTTTTAATCAACTCTGGCACAGATGATCTTCCATGCCATGATGTCAAACTGTCCAGCATCTGTTTTCTCGGTCTCCCTCTGCCTCTCCTCCCCTCCAACTTTCTTACCATCACGATGTACTCCAGTTTTCTCCTTCTCATCACATGACAAAAGAATGTAGATATATAAAATAAAATATATAAAAAATACTTTATTATTGGTCGACAGATAATATCCGCTGCACCTTTCAGTTCATGAGTGCTCACAAGTGTCTGGCGACACTAGTTATATGTTGATTTATTAGTTTTCTTTGGCTTCTTCCATTGTGGTCGTCTGCCTTTATATCAGCTCTGAACCATAGTGGTGGTCTGCCTTTATATCAGCTCTGAACTATAGTGGTCGTCTGCCTTTATATTAGATCTGAACCATAGTGGTTGTCTGCCTTTATATCAGCTCTGAACTATAGTGGTCGTCTGCCTTTACATCAGCTCTGAACCGTAGTGGTTGTCTGCCTTTATATCAGCTCTGAACCATAGTTGTTGTCCGCCTTTATATCAGCTCTGAACTATAGTGGTTGTCTGCCTTTATATCAGCTCTGAACCGTAGTGGTTGTCTGCCTTTATATCAGCTCTGAACCGTAGTGGTTGTCTGCCTTTATATCAGCTCTGAACTGATAACGTGACAATTTCTGTTACATTAAATTAAAACCATCTCTACAAACTAAAATATAAATGAGATATCAACACAAATCACTTACAAGTTGACTGTAAGAGGCACGAAGTAAGACAGCATGACCACTTCAATGAAGATGTTACCGCCTTCCATCAGCTGCACATGGAGTCTCCCCCGCCACACTTCGTTTGTAGGCCCAGGGTCAGAAACTGATGATGGTACTGAAGATAATGCCGACGGTGGCATGCCTTTGTGTGCTGGAACTGGTGTGCTCTGGGTCGCATGAGGTACACTGAGGAACAGAAAACATAACATTGTGTCCTTTTGATATAATTTCTTTGTATATTTTTGCGTCTGACTAATTTAATCAAAGCTATGTTTACAGCGACATTAAATATCCATGAATACTTATAATGATGAATGATATAAACACCAATGTGAAACATTTCCGGGTACCACTTCAGGTGTCAAGGCAGCTAGAGGGTGCTGGTTCTCACTCTTCCCGCTACTTCCAACATAAGACACATGCTAGTGTTGTAGAAATTCTCTGATGTTTTCTTTTTCACCCTGTTCTTAGTCTATCTGGAGATCATACCCCTCTCCTCTTTTTTTTGTATATGTCTACTATGGTCTGTCAGAAGGCATTCTCTTTATGTTAGATTTGAAACATCACAGTAATGAAACATCACAGTTAAAAAGATATTTAAAAAGAAAAACAATTAATTTCACTATCTGTGCGTGAAACAGAGATTAAAGTAAAGAAAGATTTATATTTTCATGAAACAAATTCTCACCTCACAATATTTTTAGGAATGGGCAACTGGGGCTCTCTGATAGTGTAATATACTACAGCATAAGGTAGTACCTGACGCGGGTAATCTTCAATCTTGAAATCTCCATATTCATACACATACAGCTGCAACACAATGAAACATGAGTAAAATATGAAATATAATCAATGTTCTGTAGCTGTACTAAGTTTAAGTTGTTCATGCTTTCGGTGCCAAGCAGCTCATCATATCATTGTGAATTGGAACAAAGAAGATACACAAAATGGCGCTAAACAGATCATATCGTTGTGAATTGGAACAAAGAAGATACAAAAAACGGCGCCAAACAGCTCATCATACCGTTGTGAATTGGAACAAAAAAGATACCCAAAAAAACGGTGTAAACAGCTCCTCATATCGTTGTGAATTGGAACAAAAAAAGATACCCAAAAAAACGGTGCCAAACAGCTCCTCATATCGTTGTGAATTGGAACAAAAAAGGTAACAAAAAACGGTGCCAAACAGCTCCTCATATCGTTGTGAATTGGAACAAAAAAGGTACCAAAAAAACGGTGCCCAACAGCTCATCATATCGTTGTGAATTGGAACAAAGAAGACACCAAAACAGACTGCACAATTCTTTGCCTAGCATACTGTATGTTATCTTGACAGTAATAATTAAATAAAATGAAGCAGTCGGCGTCTGTGGCTTAGGCGTTGCTAACAGGCTTTAAAATGCCAGGGTGCCGGGTTCAATCCCAGCTGCAGACAGTATATTTTGCGTTGATGTTGACAGTGGTACCGAGAGCTGACCGTTTAGAAGCAATGGCAAACTAGTGAACATAAAATATGCCTAAAAAAACCACTACAGCCACAAAATGATGGGGTCGGTTCTGCAACATCCTGTAAAGCTGGGCTATTCAATTAATTTTACCCAGGGGCAAACGTTTTGAAAACGGGGATCAGAACGAACCAGAGGGGTGAGCCCAAGCAAAGGACAATCATCAATATAATACAACTGGCAATGATCAGTGGGCTACTTGCTAAGTCTTTGCAGGCCAGATTTGGCCTATGGGCCACCAGTTGAATAAAGAACACGCTATAAATTTTTTTTTTTAAATAAAGCGAAACATTATGATCAAACATGGTCAACAGCTTTGCACAAACTGAAAAAGACATGGATGTGAAGTTTTTTCCTGGTTAAAAAAAAAAGATATCTGAACATACATATAAAGTTCAGTTAAAAGGGCTCACTGATTTGCCTCATTTTAATTATTACTGTAGTGGGCACCTTAACAGACAGAGATGAATGTGCTGACAATAAACTGCAATCTGTCTTCTTTATTCACTTAACATTCATCTCTTTCTAAACATCATCTATAATGCTTGCTGTTTTCTACCAAGTAAGTAAGTAAATAAAGGACCCTTTTCCACGCCTTTAGGAGTATAGGGCTTTACCTATATTTTATAGACAAATCAGCACAAGATGGTGATGTGGTCAGCATCACGCTGGCCGCCTTTACTTCCTGGGACTTTACTTGGTACCCACTCAAGGCTGGGTCAACCAGGGAGTCAAGGTAATTTTAAAAAAAAAAAAAAAGTCTGGCTCCATCAGGAAACGAACCCATGCTGTCTTCTACCACTGACAGATATTGCGTTAGATAACTTATCTGAACTACTAGTTTCCTTACTTCTATCCACAGTATATGTTGAACTCCTTCGACCCAGTGTGACTTCTGGGGCAAACAAGAAAAAACCCAAAGATGAAAGGTATAAGAAGAAAGAACTCTATTACTGTGGCAAATTTTGAAAACAAAAACTGTCTTAGACAAAAAGCCAAGCAAGAGTGTCATGCATTCAATTTTTAGAAAACCTTATTACAGGTAATTTAATCATTTAAAAAAAAAAAAACTACATGACATAACCTCTATTCGAAATATTTAGCATACCATGGATAGAAACCTTTCTGTCTAAAAGAACTTACCATGGATAGAAACCTTTTTCTGTCTAAAAGAATTAACTGAACAAAGAAAAATTTGCCTCACCGAAACTGATGTTTATATTTTAACATGTTTCAGTTTGAAAAAAATGTTTTACATGCTAATCAAATATATTTTAAAGAAAATAAATAAATTGGCACTGAATTATGCATCTTACAAGAATAAAACAACCCTCTCCCCCCCCCCCTTTTTTTTTTCTCCACAAAATATATATAGATGATCTTTCAAATGATTAATGATGATCAAGGAGGAAAGTTTCTCTTGACCACACCAAAAATAAACTGGGAGGAGACCCAAAAAATGTAATGTCTAAAAGACGAGCAATTGAAAATTCTCTATCCTCAGCCTCTCCCCCTCCCTCACCTTTCCTACTCTCTATTATATTTTCCATGTTGCCTGCAAAAAAGTTTAAATAAAAACAATAAACATCTTAAAGTAAATATGAGCAAATGCCTGCAAGTGTAAAGAAACATCTGCAAGAATTAAAAAAACAAACATCAGAAAACAAAACAAACAGTTACACTAAACAATAAAAAAACTAACACATCATAACAACCCATAACATACAACAAATAAAACAAGCAGTCACCTGTGAAGAGTAGAACATCATGTGTGGGGGCTGCTGGGTTGACTGATCTACATTTGGCTTGGCAATATGGCAGTCATAATTTGGTGTGGGTTCCAGTTGTACTCCCACATTCTTACAAATCACTGTCTTCACTTTACCCTGAAATCAACAGGAAACAGGTTCAAGAAGTGTTCGTGTGACTCTCAAATCAGCCACGGAATATACTTTCAAAGTATATTTAAAAAAAAAAAAATTCTTGTTATTATGAACATAAGACTACCAACAAAATGGGCTATGTTTCCATGGTACCATTTCCAACGTGTGGGGTATGCCCTTAGATCAGAGCTTGTGGTGTAACATATTAATGTGTCAGCTGCAGTGTGAAGGTATGTCACCTGCATGTAAAGTGTTAAACAATTTATGTATGTGTCTGTATCTCTCATAAGGAGTTAGTTTAATCTCTGGTTTGCTAGTAGATAGAAATACTGTATTGCAAAATTTTTTTTGTCTAAAAAAAATGGGGGGGGGGGGGGGTCACCAACATGAAAAGTTGAGAAAGCTCTGCGTTACATCAAGGTAAACCTGATAAGTAATATGGTAAATTTCATGCTGGCTTTTCAACCTCTCAAAAAAAAGCTTTAATGCCATTATGAGAAGCAGCAGTAATCTTGGAGCAATGTTGCCCTTATAGTCCATGCCATTAGTAATACTATCGGTCCAGGGTTATATGTGTCATATTCTGTCAATCATTTCTGATACAAATATTCCTCCTTGCTATATGTGAAACTTTCCAACCCCTTCTCTCTTAGCCTCTCTTCTCTTACATATTTTCCATTGTCATAATGCACTTCACCCAGCTTTCTACTTGTCATAATGCGAAGAAAAAAGTGTGTAGACGGTTTCCTTCTTTAAGCTGATCATCAGGGTTTATGAGTTTCTTTCAAGACATTACATTTTTGTTTAACCTGACTATGGTGTTTTCATTAATCACTATTTCTGCATATCACACATAATTTGCAACAAAATGGCTGACTGTCGATGATTTTACTTCTGTATACAAGGATTTATTGGAATGAGGTATTTTTCAATCAACTGCAGCCTCGACATGGCTCTGTAAACAAATGATCACAATGACTATCTTTGAGAATCGGATCCCATGTGATCCGTTTCAGCCAGCGGGAATCACTCGTATCTAGCGCTATCTTGTTTACACCCTTATATGGAAGTGTCCATGCTGTTATACTGGTCAGTGAATCGATTGTGAATGGAAAACTTGACATACCACGATCACGATTCCCGCTGAAAAATGCAGGGGACACAATTATGCTTACAATCATACATATGGTTATCTCCCTGTGGAAATAACGTTGCCAAGTTGCTGTAACAGGGAGACGTCATCACTTGTTTGTTAAGAGGTAGGTTATTGCGCAAAGCTAAGATGTACTGGAATCAACAAGTTTTGATAACCTTGACATTATCTTTTCTAGAACAATCCTTTGTTATTACTAGAGAAATATTTTGCAAAAGTATAATCTATAAATAGTATTTGACGTCATTGTTGACGTGCCCTATCAAAGTAAACACAGTTGTACTGTCTCTATGACCTCAACTGTCAATCTAATTAGTATTTTTAGGTGCAGAATAAACACGTTGAGATGTACTAGAAATTTCTAGAAGAGAAGAAAACAAATACCTCGCATTCCAGCATCTTAGTATAAATAATGAGCGAGAAACCACTAGTGTAAGCCTTCGGTCAACCAGACTTAGAAGAGGAGGGACTAGTAATATTGACCCTTAAAGAGCCTTCGGCCATCAAGATTTGGAAGCAGAGGAACCAGTCACATGGAGCCTCGAAGACAGTCACTGGAGAGGAGATATGAAACAAGCCATCGAGCTACAGAGACAGCACACAAGATACACGGATCCATGGTTAACAGAGACACATTAGTTAGAAACACTGTTGAGATGTTAGAGTCGACGATCAAGCCGTTAGTACCAGACAGCACTAGAAGCCAGGTGGGAGTTACAGACACTAGAACCAGTTAACAGAGTAGCTAGAGATGAATAACACAGCACGACTTTAAGAGTATGTAGCCATAGGGAGAACACAACGCCTTTCAGAATATCATTGATGTTGTTTATGACATTGCCGAAATACCACAATAAAGACAGTACAGAAAAGAAGAATTGTTTCCAGACATTTTATTATACAAGCATCAGAGCCACTTGAGAAGCATGCAGCAAACAAGACATCATCATCACCACTATTGACACGACCATCTTTCTCCTCATTTATAATCTTCTGATTGACTCCGCCTGTAGCAAACTAAAGAAGAACCTGGGTGTGACATCAATGTACGCAAAGAACAGAGCTGTGCTACATTGCGAAAAACAGCAATTTTGTAACAAATTTCAATAAACAAATAATTTCACAGCTAGGGTTAGCTCAGTAAAATATTAATATTGCATTCAAATAACATATTTTAGACAAAAACAAATACTGAATCTGACAGAAGACATACTAAGGTGTGTAAAATAAACTTTTTCCAAAAATTGTCAAGCTGACCCTAATTTGATGTTCTAAACACCCGCACATGGCCTTAAAGCTCTTACTGGGTGTTGAATGCACATACATAACATGTGCAAGGTGTGATAATTACTCGGCAAGTCCAGCACCAGGGCACTATGTATTGGCTCTGCATTTATAGAAGCCTCCTTGGATGGCAGGGAATGTTTCAAGTTCTGCCCCTACCCTCCCTTGAGGGCTGACAAAATGGGTCTACATGTAGACCAAATGGCACAGATGACATCATAACAAGGCTGTACAATGTCCTGTAAAACTAACCAGAAAGGCTAATCCAGACAAAATTGGAAGCGTTGGTCAACTGCACAAATATCCCCGCTATGTGGTAAACAGGCAATTACTTAACTAGAACAATGAAGAGGAAGACTATATAAACAGAATTATGTTAGTATCAACTCTGTCCCTGGTCCAGCCTGACTTGATACTCCCCTCAAGAATACATACCTTCAATAACTTAACCATCAACAACAGTCTGTCACCATACTTGGGTTTCATCGGTGTCAATATGTCTGCATGTTTGCACAAATGGACAGCTGTAGAGAGGAAGTGTTTATACTAATGACAATATGAATAATGACACGTAAAAGAAAAAGCAAAGTATTATTACTAAGCACACCATGGGAAATCTAACCTATTCCACAAATTAAGGAAAATAATTTCATCCACATGTTTTATAATCACAGTAGACTGTTTTAATACAACAAAAACATTAAAAAATAAGCAAGCTACTAAAAAAGATTTTTTTTTTTTAATGTTCTCCTGCAGCCTGAAAGACTGACCTCCAGTGCCACCATCCAACAGGAATAAATCACAGAAACATTATTCAACCGTCTACTGTCATAACCGCCAGTATTAACTACTTCTGCAGTGTAGGCGGACAGTATTTTAGGATTTGGGGCCACAAGGCTAGTAAAATCAACACGGACTGTGCAAGTCAGATTTTATTTTTGTCATTCAAAGAAAAAAACCATATCCTCACAGAAGATTCGTACCCAGGTCTCATGCATGAGTGCTAAATGTTCTTAACTGTTTGACCAACCACTCATCTGCTCCACTGTATAAACTGGTTATACTGGAGCACCCTAAAGTTGCTACACAACCGGCAGTCATGCATAGATAGGTGTAGACTAGAAGAAGGAATCAGAAAATGCATACACTGAACGACAACACTAGTGTATGCATACCCATGTGAGAAACGCCCAAGCCAGAGAACTGTTGATTGCCACACCTGACACCATCTCTACATATTTTGTCAACCTGAAATAATAATGAATACTTATTCTTACTGAGGCACAAGAAGATTACTCCAAACATGCGGAGCAGACAGGCAGGCAGACTGACTAAATGGACAGATAGAAAAGTGTGCAGACAGAACAAACTAGGAGAGAAAGAGAGAAAGAGAGGAGAAAGAAGGAGAGAGACAGAGAGAGAGAGAGACAGAGAGAGAGAGAAGAGAATAGTACAGTTACAAAGACCAAAAAAGACAGGGAGGATGGGAAACCATGTATGCTGGTTGGTCTTGTGTGTGTCAAGAAGAAGGGATTTTAAAGAGGAAGGGGAGTCAAAACAAATGCGGTGCTTGCCAACATGTGTGAACTCCCTTCTAACAGCAAATATTGCAGAGATCGCAGCCCAGCTATAATCAACATGCACGTCTAATCATTGTAACAAAAATAATTTTACAGTATAATTTAAAGAGGAACAATCGGTTGATATAAACACAATGAACATCTCAGGTGGATGAGGTTCGTCAGCCTGGGAGTGCAGCTCATCTAAGAAGAAGGAAAAATGATCTCAAACCTCCACTGCCTTGTGGCGATTCTCGATTCAGGGAAAACGCTTTGGGAGTAAACCCTGAGGAAAAATCCGGACCTGGAATCCCTGAGGCGGTTCAACAGTATTTACATTTGCTGTTCCTGCAACATCTTTGGTGCAAAGCTGTACTGGCACTTGCCCTTTCCACCGATGTAGAGAGGGGGGTACCTGTTGCCTGGGCAACAGCCTGTATTCCAATTCAACATGCCCAGGCCTGTGAGTTGGAGAGGTTACTCCTGCACTGCTCAACTGTAACACATAAAAACTTCACAATAAACTGATCCATTTTTTATGACTAAGTTACAACTCACCACTGAAGGACTGTCCAATGGTAGAAATGCATAAGTATCGGCCAAAAGAGCATCTGGATATCCATTACTTTTCATATCTCTTCGTCTTTCCAAGTACTGCAATGACAGATAACATAATCCATATTAAATTTAAAAAAAAAAAAAAAAAACATTACAAATCAGTCCGTGACAAACTACTGAATATCTCCCAAGGGTAAATATGTAAAAAAGAGTAAAGGACGCACACCTTGGGTTTTGGACATGTCATTAGCACTTAAGTTTTACAGACCAAATAGCTGCCTTAATTTTCCAGAGTCTTTGCTAGTACCAATTTTACATTGAGTCTACCTGTAGCCCAGTTCAGTATAAAACTAATCTTTATCTGAATGAGGATTTGAACACATCACCATGCTGCAATGCTGGTCACTGCACTATCTAGGTAATAAAAGATGTACAGGGTGTGGGTGACTGACTGCAGCTCAATTTCAATGAGGAGAGATGCTTTAGTGACTGACCAAGTGAAGTGTAATGTTCACATGCATTCATGTCTACTTGTACAGTTTTGTGTGCCCAGTTCAGCTCACCAGGTGGCTGTCTCTGTTAATTCACATGTTGAGTTGAATTGACATCACAGCACTCTCTACATTCCTGAGCATGCTCCGTTCTCATCTTCAGCAGCCAGCACAGAGTTCCAACATGATGGTACCAGTCACAATCTGGTTATATGTCAGTCTTGACTTTCCTCCGAGTGTAGTGAGCCGGACAGACCCTCCGGTTACACCCAGGTGCCTCATTCTCCCCAGGCCATAATAATCTTCTTTCTCTACTGATTCCGTTGCTTGTTCCCAAAGGGCCTTGACCACATCTGCCTTCACATGTCAGTTGGAGATCCTTAGTGGTTCCTCATAGTTTGCTTCGAACACTTAGAAGAGTAGAAAAGGCATAAATGAATAAAAAATATACAGAATACACTTGAAAGAGATCACAGGCGAGCCAAGATTCTTACTGTACCTTGGCAGTTAGATCTGGGTTGTGAACATACTGCACTCTGTTGAAGAAATGGCATACAGATGATATTGGAAAGTGAAAACTTTTGCGGATAACTGACAGTATCTCCTGCTGGCATTCATGTGTGTCTAAGGGAAGTTCTGTGAGCAATTCTGTCAATAAAACCAAAACAATTTTAGGTTTTTATCTTGCAAAACATACTTTATGAAACATAGATTTCTTTTAGATTAGCAATGCCACAAACAATCATAATTCACTTTTTATAATCGAATATTATAGGAAAGAAAAACGGTTCGTGGTCCAATGCTTGATGGGTGGTACTGATAATTGCCATCCCATGTGAGTGTGTCTATTTTCCTATTACCAAGAGGAGCTGGTTATAATGTCTCCTATCTTGATCTCGAAGACAGCATAGATGAGCTTCACATCCGTGTCATGTAAGTATCAGAGATTATCCACTAGCCTAGTCCATAAAGTGCTGTTGATATCTACTGTCCACATGCGTTGGTGCACTGCTTGCCTGTTGTCCACTCATTCATACATCTTTTTTGTCGGCATGGTCAGGTGTATAGATCCAGGTGATTGCATTTATGTGTAATTTCTAAATGCTTTCTACCCATACAGAGCATACACTATCTGTTGCAATTTCCTAAAGCATGTTTATGGAGTCTGATAAAATTACTGCATGTGTGATTGCTTGTTCTGCTGCTAATGCCAATGATCTGGAACTGTTATATAATCAAAGATATAATATAATTCTGAGATTAGCTCCTTTTGATTCCATCTAAACAGTGGCTTCTCAGTCAGTCTTTAAAACTGAAATCCATGGTGGTGGTGGTTTGGGGGAAAAGAGGGGGGAGGCTAACAAAATACTCAAAGCATTTGAACTACTACTTCTAAATGTATTCAACACAGGACATTCTTCCTCCAATCTGCCTCATACTTCACTCACTCTCTAAAGGTTTCATTGGAAACTCCCTTAGCATCTCACTTCACAGAAGCTAGTTTATATTTTAATATTTTATAGTGTCTAATTATGGTATACACTGCATAGTGTTAGTATGAATTTGATACTAATAATCTAAGGTGTTGTAAATATAATTATGTTAGGTTGTCTGTTTTGTGTGTAAAGTGTCAGGTGATGGGAAGGGGCACTTGCCTTCTGACACTTCATTTCTACTGATCAGTCTGACAAGTTAACAACACCCAGCTGACTTTTGTCACTGATCAAAAATATGCAAAAGATACAAATAATTACAGCAAACTATTGCCAGTTGTCTATCAGAAAAATGCTTACAGGGGATAGGTGCCAACAGCACCTAAAATTTTCACAAAGATACAGATAATCATACTTTTGGTAGCGGACAAAGGCAAACAACTTTCTTCTTCACAATCGGTTTCATATGCTCAGGTTATCAGCTGTGTTGCCTCCATGAACTGACATGTCAGCAACAAGTCTCCAAGGATTCGTCCTCGACGCCTCTTCACTCTGGTCATGTTTTTTTCTTTTTTCTAACAGTTGCTGTAGTTATGCAGCATATGCTCAGGTGTTTAGGGTGCAGTGTGACAGGGACACTTGGCAGATTGTGCAGCCTTCATATCGTGCTTGTGTGTGTTCACACGATACTAGCACGATTGTGTGACATGAAAGTGAAGCACATCTATGCTGGGGACATTATAGCCAGCTCCTCATGCGTGTGTGTGTTAAATCTGCAGTGTCCTGTTCAGTCAAAACACGGTGGTGTACTATCTTCTGTTTAGTTCGTTGACTGTGTCAAGTGGATGTTTGAACTAAGATCAAATTCCTTTGATGATTGTAGCTGCAGAAATTCACAGTTTTCATGTTACTCAACCAGATATAAATATAAACTGGAAACAGTACCTCGACAAAGAAAAAAATGAAAAGAAATTTAGTTTTACCTCTTTTGATCTTCTTTAACCTTGGTATAGTGAACACTGGTCCATTTGGTTTTGGGACTGGTTTCCTTTTGATGGCATTAGCTTCATGTTTATTATACTGATTCTCCTGCTCCATAACCTCCATGACTACGTTCAAATCTACTCACTAGTCAAGCACATGTGGTATCTGCAACAACAACACAACAATGTATTAACATGCACTCAAATGTACAAACTACAAAATCAGCACTCAACAACTAAAACAAGAATGCAGTAAACTATAAATATAGTTAAGAAATGGGCAGTCACAATAAACCAGACCAAGAGCATCTCAACTCTCTGCTCTCTTTCGACAAAGCCAGAACAAGTTGATCTGTACCTAGAAGGCAACATCCTTCCAAAAGAGGATAACCCCCCATTTTTGGGAGTAAAATTCGACAAAAGGCTGGGGTCCCCATGTTGAAGATATCCAAAGGAAAGCTACCCTGTGGCTCAGACTTATGAAACTTATGGAACAAGCTGGAGAGCAGATGCCAACACTGTACGAAAAGTATACACAGGATACGTATTACCAAAACTAGAGTATGGCATGGAAGCATGCTCAACTGCAGCCAAATCTGTCTGTGGCTGTGTGTATCTTTGTGTGTCTTTTTGATTATGTCTGCGTGTGTGTCACAGTGTGCGTTTTGTGTATGTATCTATATGCTTGTGCCTATGTACATCTGTGGGTGTGTTTGTATTTGTGTCTGTGACTCTGTGTGTGTCAGCATATGTGTATGTGCCATGAATTTGTCTGTAGGTATGTATGTGTGTGTGTGTGGCTGCATGTATATCTGTGTGAGTCTATTTAATAATGTCTTTCATACATCTTTTTTGTCGGCATGGTCAGGTGTATAGATCCAGGTGATTGCATTTATGTGTAATTTCTAAATGCTTTCTACCCATACAGAGCTGTGAAGATGAATGGAGAATGACTAGAGCATGTGGATCTGAATCGGCGAGGAATGAATGATCGAGAAGGCCAGCTGTGATGGTACCCTGTTTGATTGTCCCTTTTTTAACAGTTCAAATAACGGAAAGGTTAGGTCTGCGAGATTGGGGATAAACTTTCCATAATAATTGACATTATTAAATAATAAATAAAAGAAATGTCGGGGTATTATGTAAGACCAGGACATGCTGTCAAGGGCATTAAGTAAAACCGGGACAACTGAATTCCAGACTCTAGTCATTCTGAAACAAACAAGCTAGCCTGAGAAAAATTGGTAGAAACACGGCGAAACAATACTGGGTAATGTATTCACTTCACGTGTGAAAAAAATTGCACAAGTTTCATCCCGCTACGTGGGAACGCTTGTTCGTCGCTGGAAGAGACTGTGTAAGCTGAACTTTTGACCCTTGTGGTGGGTAATCCACGACGGAAAATTGTCAGCAGCTGTATCCCTGTGATCGTTGTTTAACGTGGGTTTTGTTCGTCAAACAAGAGGTCATAAACCAGAGATACTAATTTCGGACTAGATTTCATCGCAAGAACACTGCATTGCCAGGGGCCGAGACGGCACTCAGTTACAGCGAGCAAGGTCATCAACAACGGTCAAGTACAACACAGTAGCAGATAAAACGTCATCAGCGACAGCTAACTCGAGGCAACCGTACAGCACACCGTCCACAAGTGAATGCCTCAGGTCAAGAATACTTGTCAATAAAAAAGAACGGGGTCCAGTCAGCACCAGAAGTAGTACTTCTGCTACTAAATGTTTGTAATACGTCCGTATAGGTGAGTTCAAGTGTGTATTGTGTAGGCAAGGAAGAAGTGGTGTTTATCAACATTAATTACGTCACGAAATGTTTACAATTTATAATGGATAGACAGTAAAAACAGTGATTAATTTGATAGACTATGACTATTCAGGTTGTAGAGTAGAACTACATACATTCTTTGTAAGAAAAGTATTTCAATGAGAATCTAACATTTATCAACAGTTTGTGGTGACAATTAGTGAAATTAATATGCGCTAACTGTGAACATTTAGTGATCTGTGCCAACTGATCAACTTAAGTGTAGATTGTTAAACTACATGGTATAAAGACTTTTGGACATATTTGAATTATTGAATGAGTATAAACTAATGGTAGTCTTTTAAGATCATCTGCAGACTTAGACCACGACAGAAGACAAGAGTAGTGTCCTACAAAGATCAGAAGAGCGTGTCCAGAGACAGTAAAGACGTGCAGTGGAGCATCAAGGGCCACAAACCTAATCCAGTCCATTCCAACAGCAGAAGAGCAAGGGAGCCATCACCAGGACCAAGGAAAAAGAATCAACTCATTACATTGTTACATGCTTTCTTTTTTCGATTTTCAGGTTCTTTGATTGTGATATTCTATTATTCTATTTAAGTAAAATAGATAATATTTTTTTATTTATTAGTTGAGTGTAAATTTGTTAAGGGATATAATTAAATTTAAAATCTCAATTATTTAGTTAAAGAAGGGTATAAATTAAATAATACGGGACTTATCTTAAATTTAAACAGTTTCAAAAGTAATAAAGTACAGTAATCAGTTCTAAAATGTCAAACCTAGCAGAATACATAAATCTGGGAAAACAGTTAGGGTTATCAGGAGAGGAGTTAAGAAAATTCTGTGAAGGAAGAGAACAGGAAGACAAAGAAGCACAAAGGGTTTAACAACAATTGGATCGTGAAGAAAGGGCCGCAGCACGCACCCAGGAAGCAGAAGCACGTGCCCACGAGGCAGCAATGAAAGACAAGCAGTTACAACATGAGAAAGAAATCAAAGAACAGGAGATAAAACTTGAACAACAGCGGTTGGCAGCACAAATAGAAGCAGACAGACAAAAGGTTGAAGCACAGATAAGAACAAAAGAAATGGATAATAAATCCAAAGCAGAACTGGCAGCACAAAGGGAAAGAGCTAAAGAAGAAGAACATAAATTTACAAAATACAAAGGATTAATAAAGAATTTTGGTGAAAAGGATGACATTGGATCATGGATCTCAGGTATACATAAGTCATTAGTGAAACCAGAGGATATGACTGATAAAGTGGTTAGATGCAGAACATTCGGAGGTAGAATAGAAAAATTTAAAATAGCATCAGTATGGGTCAAAACGCCTTATACCACTAAGAAGATGGACATGGCTGTATTAAGTTCACCGTGTGCGGAACTTATCATTGGTAACCAACCAGGGCTGAAAGAGATGACAGATCATGAAATAAAACAGTGGGAGAAAGAAAACATGCGTGAGATGACAGAAGAAATGATACTAACCACGCAGAGACAAGAGACAAATGCGTTCATGGAAGAGAAAAATGACAGTGTAAATCTGCAGGAAATAGAAAATGTAGCAGCAGTCACAAGGAGTGTAACAAAAAATCAACAAACTCAAGAGCACTCCGTAAACATGCACAAAGAACAAATATCAGTAACTACAGAAGATAAAAACAGATTTTTTCCAAGTCTATCAACAAACTACAAAAAACAAGTAAATTTAATAATGCAGTGGCTAGTAACATTAATTGTGACAGTGTTAATGTCAAGTGTTAATTGTTGTGTTAAATATGTTAGGAAAGCTGCAATATTAAAGTATCAGTTATTCACAATGCAATTGAACAGGAAGCCAACAAAATTAAACTATGATCAGGGAAAAATAATAAAAAATAAGTTTCGAGTAAGAGGCATTAAATATTGTGATCAGTTTAAAAAGAAAAAAAAAAATGAAAATGATAGAATTTCCTAATTAGAAAAGAATTTACAGTCATTGCAGGTAAAATTGCAAAACATAAATGCTAATGACAACGCTAGTTTACCATTAGACATTAATACAAAAGTTTAAATTTGATATTAGGCATGTTAAAGGTGTTAAAAACTATATTCCAAATAGTATGTCTAGGTTATAAAAATAGTAAGCAGGAATAATCACAAGGGGAGTTAAATAGAAAAGGGAGATAATTATAGGTAACAAGTAAACAGAAATAATCACAAGGGGAGTTAAATAGAAAAGAGAGATAATTATAGGTAACAGTCTAACATTACTAACGAATGTTTAATAAACGTGTTGTTACTAACAATTAATATTCAAATAAAATAAATGTTGTATGAAGTGATGATATAAAAGTTATGATGTGAAAGTGATAATGAGGAATGGTGTATGAATTTAAAAATAAAACTGAAAGATGGTGTATGAGTTTATAAAAAACCAACAGACACATTAGGTTATAATAGAAAATTATTCGTCCTTTTTAGGACGAAATTTTTTGTTATTTGAAGCCCCACTCTGGCTTTTGCCAGGGGCCGCAATATAGGCAGGCCATAAATATGGCCAAATGTCTGAACGCGGTTTCTGGGACCTCTCCACGGCGATCCTCATCCATATGGTGGCACTTTGTGTCATCGGGTGTTTATCGCTTGTGTGATGTCCTGGTGGGGTAGAAAGTCAGTCAGTCAGTCATTTTAATAACAGGAAATTACAGATGTATTAAAATATAGAAATTTGGAAATATCTATGATATAGTGTACAAACAGAAAATGAAATTGCCACAATGCTAAAATGAGAAAATTCTGGCAAAGCTTTGGTATAAACCATGGTGAATGACGAACACCAACAAGGAGTAGCAATCACTTTGAATGAACTATCAACAGGAACTTGGTTCTATGGGGGACATACAGAACTGTGTGATTTATAAGTCTGGTTTTGGAGCCATTTTTGGACTTCCGCGTTGTTGAGGAACGCTTTGGGGTGTTGTTCAGTCTTCTTTAGGTATACTGACTTCAGGACTTGATAAGTACGTCACAGAGCCTATAAGGTCATCCGCGTTGTTTGAGGAACGCTTTGGGGAGGTGATTCTGTTAGCATATTGCCAAGAACTGTCAAGGGGAGTGACAAGAGATGCTGCATATGTGGTACAAGTCAGAGAACCGATGGTAGAATTCCAGCCAACAGTAAAAATATTAGTAAAATAAGGCAATATATTCTTATATGGAAATTTATATAGGTTATGGAAAAAAAAATATTGCATATTTTTTTTTTTTTTTAAGGGGAGGAGAGATGTAATGATGTTATAAATAGGGATAATGTCAGGGGATGATTGGCATAAATGGGGAAGTCCCTGAGAGCATGG